ATTGACAGAAGCGTGAGAAAAAAAATCAAAAGGAGCTCTTGGAGTCATTGAAAAAAAAAATGATATCAATTATCAAACTCATACTTTGATAGAATTTTGCAACGAATACCATATTTGTGTTTCAGTAAGAAAGGCTGAAGGATGATATTTTGGCGGGAGAAAAAATGAATAAAAAATCCTTTTTTTTCCTTTTTGTCATGGTAAAACTTCTAAAATAAAATCAGGCCTCAATTTTTTTTAACAATATATAATAATTTTCTGTTGTTTACTAAACAACGACATTTTGGACCAATTTAAAAAATTACCATGGGTGGCATCAAAATTTTGAACTGTAGTGAATATATATATATATATATATATATATATATATATATATATATATACCAATAAACTGTTGCATTTTTGCTTATGTGTCCAGATTTGAAGGACCCTGTGTGTGTGTGTGTGTGTGTGTGTGTGTGTGTGTGTAGAAATAACCCAATGAAGTCTTATGGGACAAAACGCGTCACACAAAACTTTTTCCACTTTGTCATAGATCTTTCATTCATATATATATATATATATATATATATATATATATATATATATATATATATATACAGTGAAGATTGCATAAGGCATGAGTTTTACTGTCGGTGTAGGGTATTATGTATTGTTATATATGGACACGTAAATCAACGACAGTTTTTTTCCTGCGTCAATGCAGTCTCCATGAACATTGGCGTTGAAGAATGAAACAGACTGTTATCGCTTAGCGTTGACCTCAGTGTCCATTTTTTATATTTATATAAGATCTATCTCTGATATTGAGCCCTTTTATCCATCAACATAGCATACCTTAAAACTATATTTTATCACACACACACGCGCACACATACACACACACACACACATATATATATATATATATATATATATATATATATATATATATATATATTCTCAGATGGAGTATATCTGTAGAAGAGACAAAATGAATGAAAAAATCCAGCCTTGTATTTTTTAATTATTTCACCCCAAGCAAGTCGGTAATGCCAGTAGTACGCCGGGTCATGCTGCTAGTTAGAAATAAATCCCACGCAGAAACATGTGAAAATCATACTATCATCAGTGATAATATGCTAAGAATTCAATTTATAATTATAGAAAAAAAATCTTTTGTAAAAATAAAACTTTCCTACCATTTGTAAGGTATATGCATATGGTCTTCTGTAATGAAAATATCTGAGGTACCCTCGAGTGAAAAATATCTGAGGTACCCTAGAGTGAAAAATATCTGAGGTACCCTAGAGTGAAAAATATCTGAGGTACCCTAGAGTGAAAAATAAGCTTGGATATTTTTAGTAGTGCGATCTGCCTTGTGATAAGCCATAGAACATGCGGCCCACTGATTGAAAAAGCTTGCACATGCTTGCTCTAGACATCCTCTCCCGCAAAGCTAGTTAGACTAGTCCGCCCTATTATTTAATAGATAGGCAGTAGAAGCGAATTCGTACGAAGCCGAACGGAAGAAATTCGGGCGGAATTTAGACACGGCTCTCTGATTTCATTCTCCACGCCGGTAAACCTGCATTCATTTCATCGGATTAACACTAACTTATTCCAGTGTTCAATAGTTCAAATCTCTTCTTTTTCTTCGTCCTCTAGTCATGATCAATGTATAAAGTTGCTAGATTCCCTTTGGAATTCCCCGACACTTGCATTGACATGACGTACAAATTGATTTCGGATCCTCGCAGACATCACCGACGACGGCAGGTAGCTGTTAATATGCGTGGACTTCAACGTCATTCCCGCATTCTTTAAAAGAATGTCGTTTCATGCTCTGTTCAATTTTCGTGAGATATATCATATATATATATATATATATATATATATATATATATATATATATATATATATATATATATATATATATATATATATATATATTAGACGATATTAGCACCCGAAAAAATAATTAATTCGGTTGAGCACTGTGGGAAGAAAAGCGGAAATTTGTAAACAATAACTATTACTGCTGATAACTCAAGGCTATGCAAGCTGGAATGAGTCCTCTAGGTGACTGGCGTGTTTATGAAAATGTTTATAATTACGCAAAAAATTGCCTTTCTCCCTGCCGGACGTCGATAGCCTAAAGCTTAGAATTTCCGGTAGATGCCAAATCGGTCGGGTTTCGGTTCTGTCTTGAAGCAATCAGATGCTAGAATATTTTAGACGGCATGCTGTAATGCTTGCCATTCACGCCGGAAGCCCCAAAACGAACATTTCAGAGTGTTTTGGCGTCAATCTAAAGACAATGCAGAGGATTCGGAAGGTTTTGGATGAGTCTAATGGTGATTACTAAGGTGTTTTGAGTGAGCACTAGTGATAGCGACGTTATGCCTCCGTTCATCTTCCCACAGTGCCTCAGGATCAACATGGAGCCCTACATCGTGCCTTGAGGAGGTGGTGCTACTCTGGATCAAGAGGGAGGCTACAGGAAGCCCCTATGTCTGGCAACAGGACTCTGCACCATGCTGCACAAGCAGGAGAACCTAGTCATGGCCGTTAGACAATTTCTGTGACTACATCACCCCTTACATCTGACTACCTAACTCCCCAGACTACAAACCCCTTGATCATTATTTGTGGGGCGCATTTGAGCGAGAGACCAATAAAACTTCTTGTAACACAAAAGATGAACTGAAGGTAAATATTATCGCAGCATTCACGAAATTAAACAAGGAGGCCGTTCAGAAGAGATGCAGGAGATTCCGAAGTCGTCTGGTGGCCGTGGTTCAAGTCATTGGCGATTTTACTGAATAAATTTACTCTACAGTATTTCAAGATATGTTTCTGTGATTTTGGTAAATATATCTGTTAAAATGAGACGACAGTGCGATTTTCATTTTTACGTAATTTAGACGACAATTTATCCATCGCACCCTCTCTAGAGAGAGAACACCATTTCTGCATAACAAGTCGAAAGTTTCATCTTTTCTTCTACTCGGAATATTCAAAAAGTTAAGAAAATGATGTAATTTGTATGCAATGTTCAAATCACTGAAAATTTCTAGTATCATTTCAAACAGACGTATCTCAAAATAAATGTTAAATATTTCTGGCAAACCTTGATAAATAAACATTTTGCAATACGTCTTATAATTATTTCCAGCCTCAGGTATGATTTTTAAAAAATTTGCGTATATTAGATTTATTTTGTATTTAATATTTATTTCTTATCTGATGTTTACAAGCTATTTATATAACGTGTCGTATAATCATATGCAGCTCTGTGTGACTGATGAATTTTGCTTCCTGCTAATCGAGACACAGTGGAGTAATGGATAGCGGCTTGGATTGAGGAAACCGAGTTCGATTGAGAGAGCCGAGTTCGAATTCCAATCGAATCTATTATATTAACTTACGTGCTAATACCTTTGGGAAATGCATGAATCCTCTTCTTCTCCCCCTGCTATAGGTAAATAGCAGGACAGACTGGGTTCTATAGCTTTGGATGACAAAGAAAGAAATGGCAACCTACTGCGGGAAAAATCTGCCTCATCATCATCGCCTAAGCGTGTATCACGTATAGCACATAACTGACTAATTGAGATTTGTCGGAATTTCAGCTCCTAAAATGGAAGAGTTTTGAATGAAATTGTCAGAGTAAACATTTATTCGAAATCGTTAATGGTTTTGAAAATATGAGAGAAAAACTATGATATTTTCCCTAAATCAATCATCACCACCACCCCCGGTCCAGTGACTGTCTACGGTCATAAGGTGGCTTAGACACTGACCACTTGACCAGCTCCCCTCACCACCAGTTCTCAGTTACGTGTCAATGTCTGCGTCTCTCTGAATGATCTTCCAGTTCACTCAATTAAATTTTTCCCTCTGTCCGCCTCTTCTTCTTTTGTGGTATCTTTTAAGATTTCAGTGGAACCATTGTTGCCTCTCATCACATGTGAATACTCTCATCACGTGTCCATACCCTGATCACGTGTCCATACTGTTCCACTTTCTCTTCTGACGAGTCTGTTTCTTAAATGATGGAGTCTCGTATTCTCTTATTTGAGATACAGTCCACGTAGGAAATGCTTAAGATGGTTCCGTATGCATTTCATTTCTGTTGGATCCTTTGCAGTTATTCTCCTGTTCATGTCCAAAATTCGCAGACGTACAGAAATTCTGTAAACAGCCAATGCAAAGAAATATTTGATTTCAAACTCATGCCCTTGTTTTTTTCTAGTTCTGTGATATCTGCCATTGTTATATACCTCTTGAAGTTATTTCTACACCTTAATTTTATTTAAACTATTATTATAGAGTAATTATCTATGAACGAAACAATGTCAGTTTATTAATTTTCTACTAGTATTTTCCGTGACAGCACCTTACCGATTAGGCTACGAGGATAAATCAACAATCATTCGAATTTAAGCATATGGCTCCGAACACCACACGTCACTATCTTGTCTGTATACTTTTTATACTGGTGGCATGAGGTTTAACTGTATTCGTAATTCTTAAATAAAACATTGCCATTTAAATATTTTCAAATAAATAAATAATGTCAGATTACCAAAGATAAATAGATCCCCGCGTGGGGTAGCGCTTATCAGCGAAGACAGTTGGATCAGCGTAGCGAGTTCAAATTTTAGCCAAAGATGTTGATTTTGCTTTCCTTTGGAAACGTGTATAAATCCATTGTTATCCCTCGTTGATTAAATCGCAAGGTAGATTGTTCTCCCTAGACTTGATTGGCAACAATTTTCGGTTGTTTCTTCGGTATTACTGTCTTAAAATGTCTTAGAAGATATGCGGGTACCGTAATGGTGGAATCGGGGATCGGAGTTCAAGTTCTGACCTCGACTGTTGCTTTAACTTTCACAATAATACCTCCGGTAAAGCCAAGAATACGCTTTCGCGGTTATAGGGTAAATAGTGAGGAAGACTGAAATCTGTTGCCTTGAGTGGCAGCCATTCTAATAGAAGGAGAAATCTGAATTCAAAAGTGGTTCGTTGCGGAGCTAGCAACCCCCTTCCATAAAACCTACATACTGTAAAATTTACAGCAACAATAATAACTAGTGTGGTGAAGCTGTGGAACTACAACCGACATTCTTCAGGTTTAACATAACATACATACTCTGGAATAATGGATAGCGGCTCGAATTGATGAATCAGAGAGCCGAGTTCGAATTCCAGTCGGATCCATTACATTCAATTATGTACTAATAAGCTTGGGAAATGTATGAATCCTCTTCTTCTAAAGTTAGCAGGACAGATCGAGTTCTATAGCCTTGAATGGCAACTGGTGCAACGTAGAAAGAAATGGCAACCTACTACGTGAACAAATCTGCCTCGTCAGTCATGCATCGAAAGATTCATGATCGCCTAAGTGTGTATCACGCATGGCACATAACTGACTGAAGTTCACTTGCGTCCTAATTCCCTTGGAAAATGTATGAATAATTTTCTTTTCCCCCCAATTAGCAGGACAGACCGGGTTCTATAGACTTGAATGGCAACTGGTCTACCGTAGAAATAGCAACCTACTACGGGAAAAATGCCTCGTCAGTCATGTATCGAAAGATACATGATCGCCTAAGCGTCTATCACGTATAGCACATAACTGACTGAAATTCACTTACGTTCTAATACGCTTGTGAAATGTATGAATCCTCCTTCCCCCCCCACTTAGCAAGACGAACCGGGTTCTATAGCCTTGAATGGCAACTGGTCTAGCGTAGAAGAAATGATAGATGAAGAAGATTCTTTGTCATTTTCGTGTTCTTCTTTTCCGAACCCCGTTGATTGTATGAATCTACGATTCGCGACGGAGGAAATATCAGTTAGAAATTAGTAATAACTAGCAGTAGAGCCCGGCGTTGCCCGGGGATGTAACAGTAAGAGATAGATCAAGTATCCACCATCATAAAGACTGAAAAATAAAATTGACAAAGATTATTGTTTAAGGTTGACGGACACGCATGTCTTAATTAGTTTGTTTTTTTGTTTTGTTTTTTTTTTACGAATTGGTCAAACCCAAACTCAAATATTGTTTTCAATCGTTATGAGTCTACCGATTGAATAGAATTTTATTATATACAGTTGTCTTGTAAATGGAATTTTTAAAGCATTCTGAATGTAAAAATAAAGAAAAAAGTGTGCAAGATAATAAGAAACACTACCTGCCAAAAAAAAGTGAAGTTTTGTTGAAATCGGTTGAAAAATGTAGGAAATCCGATCCCATATATAAACGAATACACACACACAGACAAATAACCTGGGTTTTTATAATAAGTATAACTCGATATGAGTTGTCCCCCTTTCATTCTTGCGATGCCGCTTAATCGTGTTTTCAAATTGATTTTGTACAAAAACAATTGTGTTTTTCCAATTTTTGGCACTGTCAGAACCATCGCAAGGTAATTTTACGCAGTCCTGTGAAGTTTTGTTGAAATCGGTTGAAAAATGTAGGAAATCCGATCCAATATATAAACGTACAGACACACACACACACACACACACACAACCAGGGTTTTATAATAAGTATGATTGCTACCCTTATATTAATTGTATGGGATTTACGATGAAAAGAAACAGAAATAAAGCGGTGAATATATGGGTTAAAAATTAGTAATAATTGTTGCCTTTACATTAATTATTATGCGATATGCGATAAAAGGCAACAGAAATAAGATGAAAGAAATATGTGCTAAAAATAGTAATAACTACAACCCTAACATTAATGCAATAAGAGCAACAAAAATAAGATGGAAGAAATCTGTGTTAAAAATTAGTAATAATTACTACTCTTACATTAATTTTTATAGGATTTGTGATAAAATGTGACAGAAATAAGATGGAAGAAATACATGTTAACAATTAATAATAATTGCTACCTTTTCATTACTTTTTATGGAATTTGGGATAAAAAAGGATAAAATAAGATAGAAAAAGCTGTGTTAAAAATTAGTAATAATTACTACTCTTACATTAATTTTTATAGGATTTGTGATAAAATGTGACAGAAATAAGATGGAAGAAATACATGTTAACAATTAATAATAATTGCTACCTTTTCATTACTTTTTATGGAATTTGGGATAAAAAGCGATAAAATAAGATAGAAGAAAGCTGTGTTAAAAATTAGTAATAATTACTACTCTTACATTAATTTTATAGGGATTTGTGATAAAATGTGACAGAAATAAGATGGAAGAAATACATGTTAACAATTAATAATAATTGCTACCTTTTCATTACTTTTTATGGAATTTGGGATAAAAAGCGATAAAATAAGATAGAAGAAAGCTGTGTTAAAAATTAGTAATAATTACTACTCTTACATTAATTTTTATAGGATTTGTGATAAAATGTGACAGAAATAAGATGGAAGAAATACATGTTAACAATTAATGATAATTGCTACCTTTTCATTACTTTTTATGGAATTTGGGATAAAAAGCGATAAAATAAGATAGAAGAAAGCTGTGTTAAAAATTAGTAATAATTACTACTCTTACATTAATTTTTATAGGATTTGTGATAAAATGTGACAGAAATAAGATGGAAGAAATACATGTTAACAATTAATAATAATTCCTACCTTTTCATTACTTTTTATGGAATTTGGGATATAATAACAATCCAAAAAATGCTTTCCTTATATTTATCTCTTCTGTCATTCATTCATTAATTTGGAAAATCCAAATCTGTTTTTCGCAGCTCACGAGAGTCTGTATCCTGCAGTTTCCTAATCCTTAGTCCCACAGCCGCACACCTACACCTCCTCACAGACCAGTTTTTGGAAATTAAAGCACAAATTGGTCTCCTTAAAGAAAGGAAAAATAAACAAATACTAGATTCTTACTGATGATTCTCCTTTTTCCTCAGATTCAACCAATCTATAACATTTTATATATTTTCCTGTTCTTAAATGGTTACTGGGCCCCTTTCTTGGTAAGGACAGGGTCCTGGGAATTCTAACAAGTTTTAGCACAATGAGTTATTTATCGTTCGACCTCGAGGACAAGTAAGACCCGATCACTACCGACTGATTGGAAGGAACGGAAGAAATAGTCTGGAAATCGATATTATTACAAAAGCATTGCGGAAAATCATATTTTTGCCTTTCCGGGTTAGTTGGAAAATTGCGTTTAATCATTCGCACATTCACTATACAAGGTTGATTGGAAAATCCTCCATCTGTCTTTGTCTGTTTATCTCTCTCATTCTCTCTCTCTCTCTCTCTCTCTCTCTATCTATCTATCTATCTATCACAGTCTATTCATTATTTATCTATGCATGTATCTCCATAAATGCAGGGACACACACACAAGCACACACATAACTTCTCAAACATAAATACACGCAAACACTCAAACACACAAAAGTTGTGAAATTTATCTATATCTTTCTTTCTATCACAATTTCATCTTTGTTATCTGTCACTATATATAGAAAGGTAGACACACACACAAATATATATATATATAGTATCAATATATGTATATATATATATATATATATATATATATATATATATATAATAGTATCAACAATGTATATATATAGTATCAACAAAATTAAGTAATTTATAATATATAATATATATATATATATATATATATATATATATATATATATATATATATTATTATAATTTATTTAATAAAAAACAGAGCTTCTACACAAATATGAGTACCCATAAAATATAACCTTTAAATAAATTAAATTAAAAATAATAATATGTGGGATTGAATCCATTTCCTAATATATATATATATATATATATATATATATATATATATATATATATATATATATATGCTCAGCGAAAGCACCTACTGTGTGCTATACATACATATATATATATATATATATATATATATATATATATATATATAAAATTTTAATATTATATATTTGTTGTGTATATAGAACACAGTGTGTGTATATAGCCCACAGGACTCTTTAAAAAACAGAGTTAAAATTATATATATATATATATATATATATATATATATATATATATATATATATATATATATATTACAATGAATCATTCATACAAAAAATTAGATTAGTAAAGTTAATGATATACAATGACGAAATCCTTCGCAAACAAAATTTTAAAGGTGCATTAACTTACAAATCACTCGATGAATGTTATGATCCTTGTTTTTAAAATTTTAAACTGTATAAGGTCTTTCTTTAATATGCAAGTACTTTTAACTGTACATTCAGTCATCTTCAGGTGTGGACATTATTTTGTTTTTGGTAAAATTTAGATAGCATAAGAGACGAAAAAATTAAATGCAAATGGTATTTTTTTTCTTGAAATGTGTTATTGTTAATAATCTATACAATCTTTTGGGTCGTGGAATCGCAAAGGTAAGTTTGAATTTTATTGAAAATTTAAGAGAGTGCGTTTTTTACTAATATGGCAGTTTGAGATTATTTTTGTTGTAGGAGTTTATGTCAATGTGGCATGAATTAAATTACTCAATAAATAGAGTAATTAAAAAAAAGGATTTCGCCATTTCATATCATTAACTTTACTAATCTACTTTTTGTATGTATGATTCATTGTAATATAAATTGAACTGCACCACATATTTGATTTATATATATATACACACACACACACGCATATATATATATATATATATATATATATATATACTTACACATGAACTTGATTGTAAAACTAAATCAGGAAATATTTATGGAAGCTTATCACAAACAGTGCATCTATATTATTAATAAAGATTTCGTTCCTCACAAGGTGACTCATAGTGGTATCATTGTGTCAAACTATGCAAAGTTTAGTAAGTTACAAGAAAATCAGTGAACTTCCAACAATACGAAGATAATTTGTTTTCTTGATTAACTGATTTTTTTTGTTATGGCTCATTAACATTTGCAATTTATTTAAACCTAGAAAATGTTTTTAAGAGTGTAAGAATTTGTGGGGGGAGGTAATAATAATTTACAGATTCAAGTTCTACTGAATAACCCATCGCTTGGGGAGAAGAGGTGGATTCATATCTACCCCAAGTGTATTTGTGAGAATATAACGAACCCGACTGGAATTGGAACTTTGCTTCCCAAATTCCATTTCCGAGTCGTTACCGATTAAACAGACCGCTCATCTAAGCTTACAGCAGCTGCTATTCCTAAGTGGTTACCAATCTAGGTATTGGCTAGGGTCGACGTTGCTTAACTTCTGTGTAGCGGTGTTTCAACGTGATGTGGCCATTAGCCAAGATAACCGACCAAAACAAGTGTAATAAAAACAAAGATGAGGATATTCACGTTTATAATTCATGAAATAAGAGTGACTCTGCTTCTCAGAAGAAAAAAAAATTCTGTTTATTTGCTCAACTAATGTCATTTCGCAGCCAGGCCGAATGTTACAATGTTGTTAACTTTGTAAATATCTTTAGCCTGGGGTCAATATCCAACAGAAAGATCGTTGGGAAAGATTGGAGCGTTCTGCTCGTGCATTTCGCGTCAGGGGTAGAATTTTCTTGTGGCTACCTGCGTTGCATTCAGAAGCAGGAAAGAATTATTTTTTCTTCTTTCCAATTATGCCATATACACCTCCGGAAAATCAAGAAAGAAATTGCCCTGTGGCTCTTCTATATATGATTCAATAAAACTTTGCGCATATCTCGCCATATAGACTAAAACGGTGTAATATTAACATGACAGGGCTTGGATCTGGAAAACATCATTTTGCTCGGTAGGTGCGTAGCTTATTGGATAGGCCGTTGTATTTTTAAAAAACTGTCCTCTCTCTTTCTCTCTGGGTTGTGTCTCTTCAGAAGTCATGGCTCTCCATATCTTCCACTAACTTTCAGCAATACTTTCTATTTCATGATTTCACTTTTCATGGTCGTTTTTGTTGCAGTGCGACTGTAAAGAGATGGTGGGATCATAAAGTGGAAAGCATTGCCGTGATCAACAGAAGATAGGAAGATATGGAGAGACATGATCGGTCAGGTTCTGAATAAACAGAATAATGCCAGAGCGAACAGTATAAATATAGAAGGACGTTTCATAAACTACGAAATAGCATTTCATAAAGTATGACACAAAGAGCTATTTGAACTACTAGGAGAACTTTATTTACATGGGAAAGATATTGGAATAACCCGAGACACTTAATGGGAACATATCAACTGCATAGGTACAGAAAATTGAATTGAGCAAGTACCCCAAGTTATTAAGGGTCGTAACACAAAGATATGTCCTTTCGCCGGATTTATTTAATTTTACATTGAAGCGAAACTAAGCGAACTAGAAGTCCAACCAGGATTTATTATTGGTTGGCAAAATCTTAACATAAGATATATAGATGACACTGTGTGGATGGCATATACAGAAAACTGAAGTTGCTTCTAGGCAAGGTAGTAAACGAAAGCTTGAAGAAAGGACTAATTATCAATTGTAAGATGATAGAATGTATAAGTCGTTAGCAAGAGGGACAAAAGATGCGTGCAACGAGATGGGGACATCAGAATAAAGTTAACAAAGAAAAGAAAATAAGAGAATACAAGTTAAAGAATTTAACCATCTGGCTTTAACAGAACACCGAAAACGTGATGCCATAATACGAAGGAATAGCGTAAGATTCAAAGATGAAACTCAGAATCAAGAAAAGAAAAAATTTCGTTGGAAACAAAGAAAAGGGCGATAGAATTCTATTTAATATCAACTCTCTTATATGGAAGTGAATGCTGGACAATTTCTGCACAGATGAAGAGGAGAATTCAGGCAATAGATATGTGATATATGATATTCCACGGAAGAATGCTACAAATACCATGGACAGAGCGTGGTAGCAACGAGTAAGTTTTAAGGAAAATGGAAATATAAAGGTCATTTGTATACTTGCAATCAGAAAGAGATATTTGAAATTTGAGTGTTAACTTCAATGTTCACTTTTATACTTATATTTACATACGCTCTATCTCTTATATTGAGCACTTTATCCCATATATATATATATATATATATATATATATATATATTTCATGTTTTATTAACGAAGTATATCATTTTGTGGAGGATTTGCTTAGGTCGATTATTTAATAGTTTGTTTTGGTTAGGGAAAATAACTAAAGCTATTTATTCGTCCAATGTTTTGATTGCTTCCCGTAGTCTATTCTGTTATTTTGGCGGGTGGACAGATTTTAATTTATTTATTGGGATTGAGTATTTTTACTTTTTTGTTTATTTATGCTTATTTTTATTAGTTCTAACGGTTATTTTAGCGGGGACGATTTGTTCATTTATTTATTTATTTGTATTCATTTTTATTTGTTTTTTATCTATTTTTTATTTTCATTTATTCTACTTGGTTTTTGGTTTTTGAGTAACCTACTGATGTTTTTTTATCGATATGTAGCAGTTATAGCTATTTTTTCGTCCAATTTTTTGATTGGTTGTTGTAGTCTATTCTGACGTTTATTTTGGTGGGATTGGTTTGTTAATTTGTTTATTATTATTTACTTTATTTACTTATTTGCGGTGATTGTTTTTACTTGTTTTTATGTATTTTATTTTTATTTATTCTATTTCGTCTATTCTATCGGGAGTGGTTTGTTAATTTGTTCGTTATTTGTTTGAGCCAAATTATTTTACTTGTTTTTTTATATTATTTTGTTTTGAAAATTTGTTTTCATGTCTGCATTTAGAGATGAGCTCAGATCGTTTATTTAGTAATTTGTTTTGGTCTAGGTAGGTAATAATAGCTATTTTTTTCCTCTAAGCAAAGTTTGAAAGTTTTTGATTGATTGTTGTAAGCTGATGATCTTTTCCTTATTTTCCATAATATATTTTTGGTGTGACTTGTGTTTTGTTCTTAATTTCCCAGATGTACTTGGAAAGCATTGTACTGTTCGCGTATTTACTATTTGTAAAATATGTTTTGTGTGCATAGTTTCTTTGTTTTCAGGGTCCTTTCTTTAGGGAACATATGATAGCTAGATGGGGCCAAATCAGGAGAATAGGGAAGTTGGTCAACCAGTAGCCACTGAAATCAAAGACTTGCGTGCTGAAACATTGTCCTGACACCTTTTCCTGTGCGTTTGATCTCGATAGATTTTCGTAACTGTTTCAATATGTTGACATAGCTCTCTTCAATGATGGTGTGGCCTTTTTGAAGATAGCCAATAAACACAATGCCTTGTGTATTCCAAAATCTTAGGCCATCAACTTGACTGCAGATGAAACGACCATGACCTTCATATGCCTCAAACAATATCAGATTTTCCCGCGATGTGATCAGCCTGGTACGCTTTTGATCAGTTTTCAGAAGACATGGCACCCACCGAGTAGAAACCTTCGTCACCAACTAGCAGAAATCTTTGTTATGCCAAGTTCATTGTGCAGAATATTCCCAACTCTCTCACGGGAATTCTTAATAGTATTGGTAATTTGATTTATAGCCAATCGCCTGTCATCGATCAACATGTGGTGAACACAAGCAATGTTTTCATTTGGTGGTAGCAGTTGCAAGAGACGTTCAAACCTTGAGACATCTTCAGGATTCTCCCTTCCTTCCCTAATTTAAAATCGAAGCATATTTTTTTATTGTAAGAATAATATTTGTTTTAAATGTAATATTGAATTATCACTATTTGGGAGTCACTTAGTGGAGGAGAAATTTTAAAAAGACAGAATGTATGGTTGTCGGAATTCAGAATCATTGAATCTTCCCAATTATGTCATGCCCACCTCCAGAAAATCAAGAAAAATTATCCTGCGGCTCGTCCATGATTCAATAAATCTCTCCGCATATCTCGTCATGTGGACTAAAAAGGCTTACGGCCATATTTTCCCAATGATCTACTATAATCAAATAGAATCACCAGATATACACACTCTTAAAAATATGACAGGCTGATAACACTGTGTTGATGACACGGAAGGAAAAAATCCGGAAATCCTATAAAAGGTAACAAGGGAAAGAGAGAAGAAAAGACTAACTATCAATTGTAAGAAGACAGAATGTATGCTTATTAGCAATGTAAAAGATCTAAAATGCTAATTACGAATTGGAGATGTCAAAATTACATAAATATCTTGGGAGCGTTTCAAGAGAGACCAAGAAATTTGACACCAAAAAGCAAAGGCGCTTTGGAATAGCCAATGGTTATTTCCGAAATAAAGTACTAAGAATCAGGAAATGTCTTTAAAAATATAGAATAGAGTGAACTATATAGAATAAATATTCCTATATGACAGTGCATCCTGGACAATCTCCTGACAGCTGAAAAAAAAAAGATTTGAGGCAACAGATATGTGGTTCTACAGAAGGAAATTAAGAATACCGTGGATGGACCTTATAAACAATCTGATATCTCTGGGACATATAATGAAGAAGAAGGACTTGAAAAATTTGACACTCACAGGAAGTATCGAAGGCAAGAAAAAAGGGGAGGCAGCGATCCAACTTCTTTTGAATGGATGGCGGAATGGTGTGTAGGATGGATGGTAAAACGATCTAAGATCTATAACGGATAGGTATTTATGGTGAGCCATTGTCGAACCCGTCCTGACGGTTCACGGTACACAGAAGAAGTAGGGCCTTGTGATCATTAAAACAGAGCTAGTATTTGCTTGATGATTACAGAGTAAAATTTACTATTGCTACTGCATTGTATCTTCCCAATTATGTCATGCCCACCTCCAGAAAATCAAGAAAAATTATCCTGCGGCTCGTCCATGATTCAATAAATCTCTCCGCATATCTCGTCATGTGGACTAAAAAGGCTTACGGCCATATTTTTCCAATGATCTACTATAATCAAATAGAATCACCAGATTCTCTCAACAACAATGTCTCTTTGATTATTTTGTGACGCTTCAGAATTTTGAGGCTTACGACCATATCAAGTTGAAACACCGTTTCGCGTACGATCATCGAAGTTAAGCAATGTCGATCCTGGTCAGTACCTAGGGTGACCGCTTGGGAATACCAGGTGCTGTAAGCTTGAGTGTGCGGTTCGTATAATGGGCCGAAGTTGTTTAATTACGCGGAAATACCTAGGGAAAAGTATGAATCCACCTATTATCTCCTCCACCTATGGGTTAATTAGTAAGACTTGTATCACTAAATAATTATTATTTCCCCCCACCAAAAAAAAAAAAAAAAAAAAAAAAAATCTTACAATCTAAAATTATTTTCTGGCTCTAAATAACCTGCAAAGAGTTGATAAGCCATAGAAAAGAATCAATCAATCAATCAGAATTATTTGATCGATGGATGTGGGAGTTGAAAAAGTTGAAATGGGACCCAACCCGCCAGCACCCAACACATTCTCCTGGCTTGACTCTTTCGGATTTTCATTTGTTCTGCTTTTATACAGAACAATTTAAATGATAAGTCACTCAGTCGAAAACAGCATCACAAGATTCTGACAGTCAAAAAATGGTTTGGCAGATTTTGTCAGGATGACTTTAACCAAGATGATCTATTACGTTTCCGAAGTCGATGAAAATGCTCTGCTTGCCATCTTGGAGAACAGACGGAACATTCCGATGGAAGAGATTGCTAATAGTTTGAAAATCGTTATCGCACCTACCTTTGTCCATTTGAATAAAATTAGCTTCAAGAAAAATGGCCGTTTTTGGCAAAACATAAAGGTGTCATTTTTCAGACGGCACGTCCAAGCTTACAGCAGCTGGTATTCCTCGCAGAAACCTAATGATCTGAAATGAGAAATCCTCCAGTACCTGCCATATTCTTCTGACTTGGCTCCTTTGGATTTTCATTCGTTCCAGTCTCTACAGAACAATTTAAATAAGTCAGACAGTCGATTGGTTGGTTGATTTTGTTTAGCAACATTTCAACCTCTCTTGAATTATTTGATGCTGAAATCTACATAATTTTTATGTAATTTTATGCTTTCAACTACAGATATTTTTTACATAAATTTATACTTTCAGGATAAAGTTACGATTTTTTTTAGATATATAGTTTGTAGATCATGAAATGTATTACTGGTAATTTTACTATGAAAATGTATTTTATATATTTTAATGTTTAATTGTCATTTTGCTATAAAAATTTATTGTTGCTTATTTTATTATAAAAATGTACTATTGATTTTTGGCATATCAATCTCAATGAGTTATTTAATGCCGACAAGTTTCTTATTGCTGGTAATATTTTTTTTCGAAAATGTATAGCTGGTTATATTCCCTTTTCTTTTTTTTCAAAAATATATTTCCGGTAATAATGTATTGCTGGTAATATTTTTTCTTAGGAATTCATTGCTGGTAATATTTTTTTTCGAAAATGTATAGCTGGTTATATTCCTTTTTCTTTTTTTTCAAAAATATATTGCCGATAATAACGTATTGCTGGTAATATTTTTTCTTAGAAATTCATTGCTGGTAATATTTTTTTGAAATGTATAGCTGGTTATATTCCTTCTTTTTTTTTTTCAAAAATACATTGCCGGTAATAATGTATTGCTGGTAATATTTTTCTTAGAAATTCAGTGCTGGTAATATTTTTTACAAAAATATATTGCTGGTATTAAAACGTATTTTTACACGTTTTGACCCCAGTTTGGAGGTATAACTATTTGCCCATAGCTGGGCCCCTAACAGGTGCTACCACCCCTGTTCAAATGGACCTGCGAACAACAACAAAAGGTGGTTTTACATTTCTCGAAACCTCCTGATCAGAGGCCTTGCTGTCTGATGTAGTTTATTGTCCTACCCAGTCGAAAACATCACAACATTCTTTTAACAAATACGTGAAGTTTCTACAAAAACGTCATCAACAAGATTGTAGAATGACAGGAGAAAGTTGTTAAAATAATGGAGCCTATGTACTTGACTAATAAATGTTTTTTGTTAGTATGTAATTTTCTAATCGATTTTTTCGAATGATCAAACAGAATTCTTCTTTTCTTTCTATATGCCGTGTCCATTCAGGACGTAGTCGATCATGGCTCTCCACCTCCCTCTATCCCTTGCAGCTCTCCACAAGTTCCTTCCTTCTGCAAGCTCCCCCAGACAACGTTCTGTCATCCACTTGCTTAAGTCCGCCAGGTATGTCATGCGTTGTTTTCCCTTGTCTCTCTTTCCCTCTATTCGACCTGTGAGTATCAGATTCTCCAGACCCTCTTTCCTCATTGCCAAATTCGTTCAACAAAAATATTTAATTATCTCTTGAAACTTCAGAATTATGAGGCCTATGGCCACATCACATTGAAACACATGTTTCCATACAATCACCGAAGTTAAGCAATGTCGAGCCTGGTCAGTACCTAGACGGATTACCGCTTGGGAATACCAGGTGCTGTAAGGTTAGATGTTCGGATTGTCTAATGGAAATCGGAGAATAGTGATCCTGTTCCAGTCGGGTTCATTATAGTCGCACAAATAACCTTGAGAAAGGTATGAATCAATCTATTCTCCCCAAACTATGGGTTAAATAGTTGAACTTGTATCAGTAAATCATTATTATCCAAAAAAAAATCTCAAATATTTATCCTGGTCAGTACCTAGACGGGTGACCTCTTGGGAATACCAAGGGCTGTAAACTTGGACGTGCGGGTGGTGTAACGCTAAATGGTTCGAGGAGCCGAATTCCAGTACCAATTGGGTTCGTTATATTCACCTACGTGCAAAAACCCTTAGGAAAGAAATGAATCTACCTTTTCTCCCCTCCCCACCTCCAGGCTTAATTAGTAAGACTTGTATCACTAAATCATTATTGTCTAAAAACAAAAAAACAAAAAAAAAAAAACTAAAACAAACAAGCTAAAATATTTTCTGGCTTTAAATAACCTGCAAGGGTTGATAAGCCGTAAAAAACAAATCAAAGCAGACTAAAAAGACGTAATATTAAAATGACAGAATAATTTGGATCTGGAAAACAATATTTTGTAGATAAAGTGTACAGCTTATTGGATAAACTGTTGTATTTTAAAACCGTTTTTTCTCTTTCTATATATTTTCTATCTCTTGAGAACGGAACCGGTCGTGACTCTCCATCTCTTCCTGACTTCTCTTGCCCTAATTACTTTCTCTTTTTTAATTCACTATTTATGATAGTTGTTTATCCATCTGATTTTACAAATTAATTAACGAGGCTAAATGAGAGTAAATGGAATAGAAAAGAAAAGTGTATAGCGTCACATTTCTAAATGGGAAGAACTTGACAAAACCAATCATGGCTTTCCATATCTTCCTGCCTTCTAAGGAACACTTTACTTTTTATATTTAGGCTACTTGATTCTCTAGCCATTTATACAAATTTATCAACGAGGCTAAATGAGAGTAAATGTAGTAGGTAAGAAGATTGTATAGCGCCGCCTCTAAGGTTTGTTTAATTTCATAAGGTGTATTTAAAATTGTGTCTTTTACCTAGACACAAAGCTAAAGTGAGTATGGCAAGAAACCGATATTGTACATTTTTTTTAATTTAAGAAGGTTTGACTACTTTCAAGACAAGCATATAAAATGTTCTTTTTTTTATCCTGTGACCCGTAGGGGTCGTAGAGTCACCATGTGTACTGCAGCCAGACAGAAGGAGCTTTTCTTGGGCAAGATAGTCTGACGGAGCCTAACCCTATCCAGGTCGATTTTGAATTCAGAGTTTTTCCTTCTCCTAAACCGGTTACCAACCAAGGTTATAGAACCCAGTCGGTCCTGCTATTTACCTATAGCTGGGGGAGAGGGGAGAAGAAGAGTATTCTTACCTTTCCCAAGGGCATTAGCACGTAAATGAATGTAACAGATCCGAATGAAATTCGAACTCGGCTCTCCGATTCTCCGGGCCGCTATCCATTACTCCAATCTTGGTTCTTACATGTGGTAAAAAAAAAAAAGGATACGAAAGCGGAATATAAACCGTCATGATCACGAACTTGGCCAGATAATTTTTGATTAAAATGGATATTTTCTCCAAGGGGCGGAGGTAGTTGAAATTTTCACAGCTCAACCAAGAAAGGGGTTTAAAAAAAGATTCTGATGTTTGACCATTTGGTTAGATTTGGGAAATGTTAAGTACCACCTTCTCATTTTTCGAACTCCCTACCGGCTCCCTACTTTCCAGCCAACTTTAATCTTCAAAAGTTTAAATTCAATGTCAATCGTCATCTACTGTCCTCCTGACTAATCTATTCTTTGTTCTCGCTCTTTAAAAATGTTTCTGTTTCTAACTCTTCGATACTCAGTAACCTCTTGTGTTTTAGTAGCTTTAATGCCTCGCTTGGGGTGAAATCGATGACAAGAAAAAATAGCGAAGAAGAAAATAAAATAAAGGCTTTGCTCTGCCCATAAAACTGGACACACAAATATTTGTCTTCATTTAAAACATCTTCTAAAAGGAAAAAGACTCGCAAATCTCACGTTGCCGGTGTCTAAAAATCTCTGACAGCTGTCAAATAAAATCTAATTTCCCAAATGGGTCCCTAAATTCATAGACTTGCTACAAGACAGTTGTTGATAACGGAGACAAGAAATCACAGAGCTGTTTCGTTTGTTCTGGATTTACCTTGTTGGTTCTTAAATTTGTCGTTTAAGCTAAGACTTTATCGCAATAAAACCATATTATGATTCTCCTTGTTCCTCTATTTGTAAGTTAGTGGGCACATTTATTACGCTCTGCCATTACCTCAGGTGAATAAAGAATTATTCCGTTTTGATTCTGGGGAAATGAAAAGAAAAATAGACGCTGTTGAAAGAAAGAAAGAAAGAAAGAAGGAAAGAAAGAAAGAAAGAAAGAAAGAAATGGAAAGAAAGAAATGGAAAGAAAGACATGAAAATAAAGAAAGAAATGGAAGGAAAGAAAGAATGGAAAGAATGAAAGAAAGAAATAAAATGAAAGAAAGAAATGGAAAGATAGAAAGAAAGAAAGAAATGTAAAGGAAGACAGAAAGAAAGAAATGGAAAGAAAGAAAGAAGGAAGGAAAGAAAGAAAGAAAGTAAGACATGGAAACAAAGAAATGTAAAGGAAGACAGAAAGAAAT